ATTGTATAAAATAAAATCATTGAAAATATAGATTCAGATATTGATTGTTGCCACCACTATAAATAGAAGGGGAATAATCTTAATACAAAGCTTTAATTGTTAATTTTAATACTAATCAAAAATGAATGCCACATTTTTTTAATTAATGAATGCAAGATCATAAATAATGCCACGTTTATTTAATAATAAATGCATTGTTATTTGGTACTAATCAAGATTGTCAAATAACGAATGCTAATGCCACATTTATTAATAATGGATTTATTACTGAATTTATGGCTAGTTCATAGAACAAAATTGAATTGGCAATTTTGTTTAGTGTCAAAAAACATGAAAATCTAGATTCAGATGTTGATTGTTGCCACCACTATAAATAACCTTTTTGATACAAAACTTTAAATTTAATACTGATCAAAATGAATGCCACGTTTTTTTAATAATAAATGCATTGTTATTTGGTAATAATCAAGATTGTCAAATAATGAATGCCAATGCCACATTTATTTGGTAATAGATTTATTATATTTTTGGCACATATCAATTTATTTTTTATTACTAATATTAATACGAATTTATGGCTAGTACATAATAATATAATATTTTCCAATTATGCCTTGCACAATTTGAAATGATTTATTTTCTTATTTATTATACAATATTGTAAGTATTATTAATGCCCTCCTTTTTAAGAAAACATTAGGGACGGGCAGTGATGGCACAGCAACCCGTCCCTTTTTCACCCGTCCTTTTCAAGATTTCCCCAATGAATAATAGAAAAGGACGGGGGACGGGTTGCTGTGCCTTGACCCGCGCCACGCCCGTCCCTCATAATTGCCCGTCCTTTTTTAATTATTTTGAAAAACACCCATACCATTGCCCGTCCTTTTCTAGTATTAAAAGGCCAAACGTGAAAAGGACGGGGGACGGGTTCAAGCCACACCTGCCCGTCCCCCGTCCTTTTCACGTGTCCCCAAAATTTCGAAGGCGTTTAGACGCGTTTCGCGTAACTTATCTATGTAACGTGCATAAATTTGGATTTTTGAGCCGGATCTACATATAAATTGACACGTGATTTACCCTACCCTTAAATTTTCAATAAAAAAAATTTTTTACACACCAAAAAATGATCAATCAAAGCTAAAAATAATTTTTTAAATAATACACAGTGAGTCTCGGTTAACGGGCATGTTTGTTCCAGGAATTTGCTAAACTGAGAGATCCGCAAAAAGCGAAACTTATGATCAAATCACGTGATACAGTTAATATAAAAAAAAATATAACGATAATATTAATATATATCACTGTTGACTCATAAATTCATCAATTCGACATTATTTTGCTTCTTGGGCACTTCTATAAGAAATTTCTCTTTTTAACTTCAATACATTTTAATCATTTGAGAAATCAACTTCTAAATTTTTTAAATGCAATTCCCAACCATTTATGGCTTCTGTACTTGTTACAATCGGTTCATTTATCTTCTCAACACATCATTGTCTTCAACTTCAGGTTGTCCCAACACAATGCTTGTTCCGTCATTTCTTCTTCGAATTCAAGATTTTGATCAACCATAATAAATTTATCCGTTAAACCTAAATCCGCTAAATCAAGGTCCACTAAACTGAAACTCACTGTGTAATATTTATTCTTTTCACAGACCAGAATTTTGCCTTGTCAATTATTAAAAAAAAACTAACTTATGTGACATTATTATTGATTTAATTAGACCGTGACAATTATTGCTGATTATTATTAGTATTAGTATTAGGGCTTCTATTCGTAATACAAATTCTTGTTCGAATTATTCGTTTTATCGAATTAAAATTTATTCGAATAAATTTTCAATGTAATTCGAATAATTCGAACAAGAATTTGTATTACGAATAAAAGCCCTAGTGCTAGTAACTATTATGCAATGATCGCATACGGTCCCGTGATCAGGCGACTTTTGAAAGTCACGTGATATACCAATTTTTCTTGCATTTTTGATTGGACTGGGTGTCTTACACTATTACTATAGACAGATCGTCAATTAAATTCTTACAATTTTTTTTTAAAAAAATAAACATTAAAAAGTTAAGATGTCCTTTGCTAAATTATTAACACAAGACAGAAGAGAACTAGTATATAAAATTTATAATGAAATGAGTAGTATTGCATATTCTGCTTTTTCAACTGTTTCTGACCTTGAAAATAGAAAAAGTTATTTTTTACAGTTAGTCAATGAAAATAAAGTACTATTAGAAAATGAAAAGAAATATTGCAGAGAAAGATTTATTTATTGGTTTGAATTAAATAAAGCAATTTATAAATGGGGTGAACCAAGAGAATGCAATAATTGTGGGACAACAAGATACTCTGATAAATATTGTGAAAAGTGTATTAGTCTACACTTACAGGACCTTTTCAGCACTTGGACATCTAGGAATGAGATAATTGATGGTTTTATTCAAAAATGTCAACAGCTTTCATCTCTTCCAACTCAAATTATAGAATGGATACCTTATGAGCAATTTTATAATATAGAAAAGTTAACAGAAGGCGGATTCAGTTCTATTTATACTGCTGTATGGACACGAGGATCTATTGATGACTATGATGAAAATAAAAAGGAATTTAATTATTTTGGAGCTCAGCAAATAGTATTAAAATCATTAAATAATTCAAGTAATCCAGGAAAACCTTTTTTTGATGAGGTAATTGTTCTTATTTAAATTAAAACCATTTATTTTAAGTTAATTGATTTTATTTATGTAATTAATTATTAATTTCAGGCATTGAATTATTGTACAATTAAATCAAGCTTAATTGTTCCTTGTTATGGTATAACTAAATTCCCAGAAAATGGAAATTATGCAATAGTTCTTAATTATAATCCAGATGGAAATTTAAGGGATTATATACAAAAAAATCATTCAAATTTAAGATTAAAAGATAGAATTAATCTTTTTAGAAATTTATGTAATGCATTATATCGTATACATGAAAAAGATTTAATTCATTGTGATTTACATAGTGGTAATATATTGTTGCAAGGAGGTAGTTGCTATATCACAGATTTTGGATTATGTGGACCAGTTGACGAAAAATCATCAAATAAACTTTATGGAATTATACCTTATATTGCACCAGAGCTACTTCATTTAATTTATTTTTGTTTTTATTTATTTATTTCTTATTTATTATTATTTCTAAAATATGAACTGGAAATAAGTTTAACCAGATGAATATCATTGCAATATTATTCATTGGTTATATTTTACAAGTAGTTTTGACCTTAATTATTTTTATTTATCTACTACTAGAAAAACGAAACACATACACTGCCAGGACAAAAGTCACGCAGATTAAACATTGGTTTAATTGGTCTAGATTGATTAAACCTAATTTTAAATTTACAAAATAAAATATAAATTAATCGATTATATAAGTTCAATAATCTTTTTTCTTTCTAGTATTCTAAATAATAAATATTATTATTTAGTATTAGTAAATAGAATAAAGAGGTACTAAGGAGAAAGGAATGAATTACTAGGAATGATCACCTATGATAAGTTTTCTACTTAAAATCTTCAAGTGACATTGCCTAATTGTTTCATCATTATTTTTCTAAACTTCCTCATAATTGATGAGATATAAGGTCTATTATAAGTTTCTATTGAATCAGTTAGAACTTGCCTCGCCTATAATAAAAATTCTATTAATTTATTAAATTAATTATACCAATTTTATTGCATTTTTTTTTAAAGTTAAAATTTGATTTATCCTGAAAGGTTATCTATTGCACAATCAAATCTTACTGTTTGGCCTTGGCTGGTTTTCCAACTCCACACCATCCACTCTAGTCAATATTCCAATAACCGTCGATTAACCAAGCAGCATATTTATTCTTCTGTTAATTTGTCATCATAATCACACAACATTAATAACAGTGGTAACGGTGAAAATATTGCTAAACCCAATTGTAATTATTGACAGTGGCAAAGATAGTCATGAAAAAATTTGAAAGAATAAGATTTGAAAGTGAAATATGCGTTAGGTTATGACAATTATAGATTTAGTTATCTAAGCTTCTACAAAAGGTACAGAAAAATCTAGATGTGACATGATGATAGCAATTAATAATGTATTGTAGCAGCAATAAGGTTCTAGATGCTTATTGCAACTAAGAAGAATAAGGAGCTTATTGTTAAAGTCATCCTAAAGAGCATAAAAAAGAGCATCCAACCAAGGCACTTTTTGAAGCGTATGTAACAGTAGTATTTTTTTACAGTGGTGACAACTTACTACAATTATTTGGAAAAACCACTATTAAAAATTCTCCTACTAAAATTTTTCTTTAATTCAATTTATCTTTATAGTAAGTTTTATTATGGAAAGACAATGTGGTTTTGACATTATTTACCTCCCGCTCCAAAATTGCAGTCGCTCATTTAGTGCATTTAATACATTTAAAATGCATTTAATGATATGACGAAGAAGCAATTAGAGTTGTTTCTTTATTTTTTAATGAATTTTAAAACTGTTTTTTTACGAGTGGGAAGTGTTAAATAAATAAATAAAAATTTTGAAAAAAAACTTTAAAGTATCAGACTTAAAAAGCTTTTCGAAAAACAACTGGATACCAATATTAACAACAGCATATCTACAACCATTGATGCCTCCTCCATCATCATTTTTACTAGACTTAAAAACTTAAGTAATCCTCCATTGAATTCACAAAATGTCTCCATTATCTTACCTCAATAGACAGATTGGCAAAGAATAAAAGCTCGGAATCAACGTAATAATTTTTTTTTGAATCATAACTGATTACACATTAAAGATTCCATCAAATGGTTGGATAATGTAGCAATACTAATAATATTAATAATATTTTAGTAATTATAATTGCTATAGTCATGATGTTTCTCCAATTTTTGAATGTAAATTTCCATTTCTTCCATTTTCTCTCGATTGATTGAAAAAAATTTTTTTTTTACCAATAAAACCTTTCCTTTTCTACATATCCATCATTTTGATAAATTATACTGAATTCATTTGTTAATTAAATATTTATGAAAGTTGATGCAGGAATTTTTTTTTAAAAAATAATGTTAATGTTTTTTTATATTGCATAATAATATTATTATAAAAATATACAGTTGCAAGTGTGGTTGCGGTTGTGGTTGTGATTGTGAATTGTATAATTAATTATTGATAAAATTGTATAGATGTAGATGTAATAAAACTGAGTTACCAAAATTTCCTAAAATAAAGGCGCTAATGTGAAATGGATTAATCTTTAATTTGAAATGAAGTCTTTTCCCAAAATTTTGATTAAATCCATATGTTGTAAATACAAAACTTTCTTGAATATTTAATATGTATAAATTTTTCCTAAACTAAATAATTATAATTACAATAATAATAGCACTTAATTACAATAAGAAACAAAAGCGCATCAATGTTGTTCATGGGTTATTTTGAATTTTGCTACTGTTAATTGTGGTAGTGATATTGTTATTTGAATAGTGGTAGTTGTTGTCAAGTTGAAAGTAAATAACTATAATTAATCCTTCATTCTCAATCAATCCATTCAGTTGAATCTGCTCGCTATATACATATAAATGTAACCATAGGTATATAGGTGAATAAATATAGGCGTTGTGGAGCCACGAAAAAAGAAAATTTGATAAGATTATATATTAAAAAATTGTTGAATATATATTTATATAATATAATAAAAATATTGTCTTGGTTTTTTTAATGTCAATGTACCTCATAACCATCTTCAGCTTTTTTATTAAGAACACTCAATGCAAAACCTCGATAATATATTTGACCAATAACACCAACAAGTTCCGGTAATTTATCATCATTATCTTCTTCCTCTTCAGAACCTACTTCTATCATATGTGAAAGATCATTAACTTCTTCAAGTAAAAATGGCGACAAATCTCTATCGTTGTTGTTGTTATTGTTATTGTTGTTATAGCTGCTACTTCTGTTGGTATTTTTGCTACTATTATTATTATAATTGTTACTATTATTCTCATGATTATTAATAGCTGATGATGATGACGATTTGCCGATAGGAATATTATTTTTTCTATTGGGCCTAATTTCTTTATTATTGCTAACAATATTATTGTTAATTAATCTTCTTGTGTCGTTATCAAGTTTCTTTGAATTTTCATTATTGTGAAGTTCTTGTTTTTGTAATCTTCCTCCTTTAGTCTCATTATCATCCAACTTAGCTCTTTTACTTGGCGTTTCATCATTATCAACATCACGATCTCTATGATTATTGTTTATACCTGAATTTAGGTTATTATTATTTTCATTTTGATTACCTCCGCCTATATTATTTTGACGGCCATCATTACCGCTACTATTAGTATTTGCATTATTATTATTATTATTATTATTACTGTTATTGACATTCTTTTTATCTTCAGATGGAAAGGTCCATTGACTTTCACGAGTTTCGGTATTGAAGAAGTAAGCCTTATTTTTACTGGATATACATCTTTTCCAGGGATATGGTAAAGGAGGTTCTTCTTTTTTGTTGATAAAAGATGGTGGTGATTGTTGTTGTTTTTGTGATGATGGATAATTAGGTGTATTATGTTGATAATTTCGATCCTGGTGCTGTTTATTATATTGCTGTTGTTGGTTATATTCTCTAGTACCTATATTATTATTGTTGTTGTTATTGTTATTGTCATTGTCATTGTCATTGTCATTTTGAGAAGTTTGGTAAATTCCCAAATCGTTATCATTATCATTATTATAGTTATTATTATCAATGGTGGCGTTGGCATTATATTGAATATTAGAAGAATTAGTATCTGTTTCCATATCTTTGTTTATTAATAACATTTGATAATTATTCTCATCAATAATAATCTTTGTTATCTTATTCTTACCATGAACACTACTATTATTACTTCCTCCAATTCCATTATTACCATTATTGTCATTATTATTATTATTTTGATTATTGTTGTTATTGTTCCCATTTCCAGTGCTATTATTGCAATTACCACCACTAGCATTACTATTGCTATTACTATTACTATTGCTATTGCTATTATTGCTGCTAGCACCACCAGCACCTCCGCCGCCTCCTAATCCTATTGGTAATCTTTCTTCTCTTCTTATAGATTCGATTCTTGGCCTATCTTGTTGCAAGTTTCTATTACTGTTATAATAATGAAGATCGTTACCACGATCCTTACCGCCTAAATCTCTCATAGATCGATCAGTCATTGGGCCATGATAATAGTCGGGACTACGGTTCATCGCCATAGGATGTGTTCGGTCATCAAATTTTCTAAAACAAGAAATCATATCTCGTGGATCACCTCCACTACCACCACTTCCTCTGACAAAACCACCACCACGATCTTTTAACATTTCACGTGGAGGTGGAGGAAGTGGTAAAGGCCTTTGTAGGTCATCACGTTGTTGTCTACTATTAGTATTAGCATTATTAGCATTATTATTATTAGTATTGTTACCACTATTAAATCGATGGTCATGGTCTCGTGTATTAAAATCATGATGAATTGATGATGGAGGCGGTGTTGGTAATGATGGCGATATTTTTGCATCCCAGTCCCGTTCTCGCTGATGTTGTTGATCTCGATCACGCGGTAGTAATAAATGATCATCTTTTTTGGTGGCATCTAATGATCGTTGTCTTGTTGATATTTTACCACTATCATTATTATTAATTCTGCCACCTCCACCTCCTGTTCCATTAGGTGACATATTATCATTACAATTACTAATAATACTATTATTATTACTATTATTTGGAGCTCGATTGCCAGTTTCTAAACTACTATTACCACCACTAATCCCAATCGCAATATTAGCATTTCCCCCTCTGCCATTTCCCCTATCATAATCAATTGAAGAAATTCTATCAACAAATCTGCGTGGTATATCTAGATGATGATGAGGTGGATGATGATGATGAATATGATGATGATGATGAGGTGGTGGCGGCGGCGGCGGCGGCGGTAATGGATGCGAAAAAGGTGGCGGAAGTTTATCGTCCAGACCTTTCATGTATAGTCGATCACGTTCATAATCTCTCTCAAGTTCATGATTTCGATATGGCATCACACGATGTCTTGGTGTCCATTCATGATGAATATCTCTGTCGTAAATACGATCTCTACTACTATTACTACTGCTGCTGTTACGATCATCTAAATGTGAATGTTGAATAATAGGCTCCTCTCTAATCGGTCTTTCGTAATTTCTCGAATGTGGAGAAATGCCACCACCGGTATTTGTATTAATAACTTTCTTTTTAATAGGGTTTGTATTTGTGGTGGTGGTGGTGGTGGTGGTGGTGGTATTAGTAGTAGTGGTAGTATTAGAATTATTATTGTTGTTATTAATTGAAGATGATAATGAAGTAGATTTCGGTGAAGAAGCTATATTATTTGTTGTATTAGTAATAGTAGTAGTAGCGTTATTATTATTATTATTATTTGTTGTAGATGTCGGATTTTTGTTTGTTTTATTTATTCTAGAAGGTGTAGAAGCTGGTGTAGAATCTGCTTGATTATGAATACCTTTGTTAGTATTAGTATTATTATTTTTAATATTAGCATTAGAAATGTTAGTGGTAGTTTTATTTATGGTGGCTGCAGCGGAAAGATTTGACGATAATTCAGGTTCGACTTTCTCAGATCTAGTTGCATTTGATTTTACTTTCTGTTTATTATTGATGTTATTATTATTATTATTATTATTACCGCCATTAGTAGCAACAAAGTCTTCTTCGCCTTCACTTGGTAAAGAGTAATCAGAATCTGTGTGAATAGATACAACGTCTTCTTTTGAATTTTCCTCCTCTTCTTCTTCTTCTAGTACATTTTCTGATTTGTAATTACTGTATGAATTATTTTTTTTGTTATTTGATTCTTCGAATAATAGAGTTTGCATGTTTTTAGTTTTTTAATATTAAAAATGAAAAAATGAAAAAAGCCTATCTATTTATTTGTAATTTATTTGTTTGTGTAATGTCTTAATTTTTACATCATTTTTTTTTTTTTGTAAAAAAAATGGGACCTGTTCGCATAGGCTGTTACAGGTTATTTTTTTTATAAATAGTTTAATAAATTGATTACTTTAATTTCGATAAAACTTTTCTTTTTTATGATATCTATTTACTTATTTGATTTTTTGTAGCGCTTTTTGGGGTGATTCAACCTCTGGAGCAGAACAACTGGTTAAAAAGGAAGGTTCAAATTTAAATTATTTGATTGCTGATTATTTAGCCGGTAAATGTACATTGCTTTTGGATGCGATTATTTATTCATTCATTGATTATAATAAATGCTAGCAATATTAATCACAAGGCGACAAAAAACACATTGTGTTTTTAATTAATAGAAGTTACTATGGGGATCTTGGCTAGACGTCGTAATCAGTCACTTTCAAAAGGATTAGGTGGTGCTGGCGAGGGTGGATATATTGCTGAATTTATTGCATATGTTCTCAAACCACTTTGGCCTGATCTAATGAAAAATAATATAAAGATCATTACAAATGCTGGAGGATTGGATCCATTGGCATGTAAGAACGCAATAGAGAAATTGTTGAAAGAAGAGTTTGGCATTGAGGATAATGAGAAGGTGCGAGTAGCGGCTATTACTGGTGATGATATTTTAACACAATATAAAAAAAATATAATAGAAAGAGGAGAAGTAAAAAGGTTCACACATATTGCTGGCAATGATAAAGATGCAGACTTTTACCCTGACGATAAAAAAGAGGTTATATCTCTTAACGCATACCTTGGTGCTATTCCAATTGCCAAGGCACTTGATTTGGGTGCAACGATTGTTATAACAGGTCGATGTGTTGATAGTGCACTGGCGGTTGGAGCTTTAATACATGAATTTAGATGGGACACCAATACAGAATGGGATAAGCTTGCATCTGGGTCATTAGCTGGACATATTATAGAATGTGGATGTCAAGCAACTGGTGGAAATTTTACTGATTGGGAACAAAGTGCGTTTTCGACTAACCGTGGATGGATAAATATTGGGTATCCGATAGTTGAATGCTATGAGAATGGCGAATTTGTAGTAACAAAACCTAAAGAAACTGGCGGACTTGTGACAACAGCTACAGTTGGTGAACAGATGCTTTATGAAATTTTAGATCCGGGTGCGTATATTTTACCAGATGTGGTTTTGGATCTAAGGAACGTGGAATTGAAACAAATTGGTACTGACAGGGTGTTGGTGACTGGTGCTAAAGGAAGACCACCGACAGAAGATTTAAAAGTTTCGGGAGTTTACGTCGATGGTTATAAAATGAATGGAATGTTGGTTATAGGTGGAATTGATGCATGGAAAAAGGCATTTATTATAATGCTTTTTTAGATATTTTTTTAAAAATGATTTAAATAATTTTTTTTTGATTTCAATAGGCAAAAGCTGTTGGTCATGCGATAATATCTAAAACAAGAAAACTATTGATTAAAGCCAAATTGGATGATTTCCGCAACTTTAATGTTGAAGTATTAGGAGCTGAACATACTTATGGGTAAATAAGTTTTTTCGTTTTGAAGACTTTATTTAGACTTTAGATTTGTAAGTGTGAAATAACTCATTTTATATTTCTTTAAAAGTCATAATGCAAGAACCCGTAATACACGTGAGGTTGTATTGAATATAACAGTTCATCATGATAACCCAAAAGCATTGAAAATATTTGGAATGGAGCTTGCACCTGTATGTAACGTAACGAACGAATGAAATTTATACAATACATTTTATTTTATTGAAAAGAAATTCTTTATATTTCCAGGCTGCCACTTGTATGGCACCGGGCATAACTGGTAATCAATCAATCAATCAATCAATCAATCAATTATTTAATTGGCTAATAATGCTAATGAAAATATGTTATAAATTTTTATTACCCCTATTTATCCTCCTTCTCATCATCATTTCCTGTATAATAATTAATAGGTGTCGGATCTGGGCGTCCACATCCTTCGCCGTGTCTTGTTCATTTTTCATGTCTTATTTCAAAGAATTCCATTCCAGCATACATTATTATTGGCAGCAACAATAATAATCCAACCAAAACAACTATTTTATTCAACGCTCCTACCAACAATCAAAGTGTTATACCACCACCACAGCCATCATCATCATCGTCAGAAATTGATGATGGTAATAGTGATAACAATAAGAAATTGGTTAAAGTTCCATTAATAAAGTTGGCATGGGGAAGAAGTGGTGATAAAGGTGATACCTGCAATATAGGTAATTTTCTTCATATAGCTAAAAACTTTATTTTATAAAATTTTTTTCTAAACAAAAAAAAACCATTTCTAGGTATTTTAGCAAGAGATCCAAAATTTTATCCAATTTTAAAAAAATCATTAACAGAACAAGTAAGTATTCTTTTAAAAAAAAAGATATTATAAGCAATTATTTTAATATATTTTTTAAAAAGGTAGTGAAAGATTACATGACACATATGTGTAAAGGAATTGTCAAAAGATATGAATTGCCTGGGTGCCATGGTTTAAATTTTGTTTTAACTAAAAGTCTAGGTAAAAGTAATTTACATTTCTTTAATATAAAAATCATATAGATAATTTACTTTTTTATGTGATGATTTAGGTGGCGGAGGTTTGAGTTCTTTACAAATTGATAAACAAGGGAAAACTTTTGCACAAATGCTTTTAAGTGTTGAAATTGATGTACCAATAAATTATTTATCAAAACTTTAAATTTTTATTCCCCTTTGAAAGATTTATTTATTATTTAGATGAAAAGAATAAAAAAGGTAAAAAAAATTATCTTGATTTCTTTTCTTCATCTTAATTCTCTATTATTATAAATTAGAATTATAAAATCTTTTAAGTAGATATGTATATAAATTTTTTATCAACTTTTGTATATTTTTATTATACACTTTATACACTTACACACTAAAAAGAGTTTGCTCTTTTGTTAAAAAAATTTTTTTTGTATTTAATCGAAAGAAAAAATATAATAATAATGGTAATAATAATAATAATAATAGTAATAATAATAATAATACTAATAATAATATATATAATAATATAGTAAAATATAAACCAAAAGAATAAATAATATAATAATAATACTAATAAATAAAAAAAAAATCATAATAAATATTTTTTAAAGATTGATTGATTGATTGATTTAAAAATATAAATAATAAATGATAAAAAAATTTTTTTTGTAAATGTTTTGTTAGATAAATGAATTTTGAAAAAAATTGTTTTTTTTTTTTAAATGATGATGTTGTTGTTAATTAAAATTTAAAATGTAAAATGTAAGATTTATGATGATGATGTTATTAATAAGATTGTAAGATGATGATGATTTGATGATAAAGATATAATATATACATAACAAAGAATTAAAAATTCTATACTAATTCATTGTCTTAATAATAATAATATAATTAATAATAATAATAATAATAATAATAATAATGATAACGATAGTAGCAGCAGCAACCGTAATAGAAATATTAGCATCAGTAATAAATATTATTATTATTGTTAGTAATATTGTTAGTAATATTAGTAATAATATTGTTTCTTGTCGTTGTAGGCGTTAATGTTGACTTCATAATCAAATTGTTATTGTTAATATTACCGTTTTTTCTTTTTTTAGCAGCAGTTATAGCAGCTGCCCATCTCTCTTTAGCAAAATTAATCTCATCAATAGACAATGTTTCAACGTCGTCGTCATCATTATGATAACCATTTTTATTAGTTGCACTTAACGAAAATGATAATTTCGATGATGATGGTGACGATGATGAGGTTGTTTTATTAGAAGGAACACCATTTAAAGCTTTAACTAATCTAATAAACCCTCTTTTTTCCTCATCAGTAATAACCAAATCATTCTTGTTTTTATAGTTATTAATAATATAGTTATTATTGCCATCATTGTTGTTATTATTGTTTATTCCGAGTTCATTTTCGTTGATTTTTTTCCACCCTAATTGTCTTAAGAAATTCTCTTCGCGTTCAAGTGATGAGATCAATGATTCAGAATTGAGATCATCACCATCACAGTAATAATCATAATATTGTTCATTACTGTTATGATTATTGTTTTTGTTATTGTTATAATCATTATTGATTGATTGTGAATGCGAAAAAAATTTTGATTTATTGTCTTTTTGTTTGTTGCTATCGCTATAACTAAAGCTATATTTTTTCTTATACTGGTCATTATCACCATTAACATTAATATTGTTCTTAAATTCCTCGCCTTCTTCTTGATGTTCATCTTCATCCTCACTATCTTCTACTTCATCCACCTCTTCAATATTGTCACACCCATTCAACGGGTTTAAAATTTCTTTAGTACGACCTGGTAAATTATCTTCATTGTCCAATTCTATTTTAAATTGTCCCATTCTACCCATTGAATTATTACTCCACAAAAATTTACCATTGGAAATACCACTAATACTTCCAACATTATTACTACTATTATTATTTCCACTATTATTGCCCATGCTGCCCACACTAAACCCATTCATACTGTTATTATTATTACCAAAATTGCTCAGTCTACGTAATAATAAATTGCCACCGCCACCACCATTAACACTATTACGTTGACTACCTGATAAAGGTTTTTTTATGACATTTGATGAAGTAGAGATTGATCTTGGTCTTGAATAATGGCCATTATTATTATAATTATTAGCATTATTGCTGCTTGTTGATCTTGAATTTGTAGCTTCCCTAATGTATTGTTTAAAATGTTGCTGTTGATGTGATTGAGATTGTTGACCAACACGATTATTTGATGAAATACCAACCCCTACACCAAAATTAAAATTTGTATTATTGTTAATGGGTCGAGTTCCTCCACTATCCATTGATAAAGATCTGATAGTCTTACGTCTCATCATTGATGATGAGGGTGATTGTATATGTGATGATTGTGATGGTGATGATGATTGTTGCGTTAGTAATGATGGATTATTATTATCATTATATAATTGTGATGATGATGATGATGAGGTTGGTGAAAGAAGCTTGGATTTTACACCTAATTTATTAACAATAATAATTATTATTATATTATTTTAAAATTTATTTTTAATCTTGAAAAAAGATTCATTGTAATTATTATTAAGGAATTAAAATTACCCCACAAATTTTCAACGTTTTTTGAGGATAAATCAATAGATAATGAAGGCTTCTTTTTTGCTAGCGTTGGCTAAAAATTTATTTTCAATTAATTCATGTTATGATATTTAAACATTTAGATAATAAATAATTTAAAAAAATTTAAAAATAAAATTCATTCAAACTTACAAATTCACGTTCAAATTTTGTTGATGACGACGATGAACTCGATATTAGGGAATTAGTTGGTTGGGAGATTGTACGTGAACGTGAGTGTGTGCGGTGGTTTTGATGATGATTTTTGCTAATTGACTAAAAAAAAAATAAATATTTATTGTTATTATTATTATTAAAAATAATCATTTGTTTATTTATTTAAACGAACCTCATTAAATGATCCTGTCGATTCTTCAAGATTTGAAGTACGAGGTGCTGCTGATCCTGTGAATTCTCTTGTCTTTGATCTAATAGTAGATGTTAATGGTAAATTACCATTATTTGATAATGATGATTTTGTTAAATTGTCTAATGAAGAAGAGCTACTACTACCATCTACATAATTTATAAATATTATTAATATTAATATTATTATTATTATTATAAAAGGAATCTAATTAATAATAAATTATTATATTACACATAATAATAAATACCTTTCCCTAGCCCATCCTTACCCTGCTGCTGCTTACTATCATTATTATTATGGCTGTTATGGTTACTAAGCCCATCTTTTTTTAAAGATCTTCCCACCATCGACCCTTTATTATTATTAGCCTCCTCTTTTGTAGATTTCCCTTCAGAAGAAGAGGAATAAGCAGGACTTAAGATTGTAGAGGGGGAGGAAGAACCTGATTTATTCGTTAACCAACTAGGTGCAAAAACATATGAAGCTGTAGAAGTAGCTCTTCTTTGTCTCGGATTCGATTTTATGGAAGAAGAAGGAGGGGGAGAAGTAGAAGATGTACGAGTTATAGATGTAGATGTAGTAGTAGAAGGCGAGGATGTGGTTTTATTATTATTATTATTATTGTTCATTTGTGATGTTCCGTTATTATTATTGTTCGCTGTAGAAGTTGTAATGTTTTTGGTATTAGTGGTCTTAAAGGGCATGGTATATGGGAGAACAGTATGAGGTGGCATGGGAAGGTTGGAAATAATTAGACTCTTCTTTTATTATTTTTATTATTATTATTATTATTACTATGATTTTATTACTATTATTACTATTACTATTATTATTATTATTTATTATTATTATTACTATTATATTGATTCTTTTAATTCTTTGAATATAAAGATTTATTGTTTTTATTATTATTATTATTATTAACTTTTATTATTTTTGTCTATTTTATTATTGTAAAAAATTTTTTTTTTGCAAAAAAAACTTTTTGGAATTTGAAATTTATTATTTTTAAAATTAGTAACGATTTACAATTTTTAAAACAATAGCCGATCTTTTTATAATACAAACTAGGATGCGGTAAAGACAAAAGTAGGAATTTATAAAATTATTTAAAATGTTTTTCGGTATCGAGAATAAGAGGATTAACAACAAAGCCAAATAATCTTAACAATAACATTAAAAAACATTAAAGTTTTCCGCTTCATTTAGCATCCATTTCTAATAGAATTACTTTTTTTGTTTTTATTCCAGCCTGGTGCACTCATTTATACTATATTCAATCAAATATTTTTATGTAGGAGAAATTAAAGAATTCGAGATGCTGCATGCAAAGAAATTCTTATGATTAATACCACAAAAAGAAATAAAAAATACCATTATTATTTATTAAATATTAAAATGTCCTTTGTTAAGTTATTAACACCAGATAGAAGTAATTTAGTATAAAAAGTTTATAACGAAATGAACGGTATTGCTCCATCTGCTTTCCAACTAATTCTGACAGAGAAATAGGAAAGGTTATTTTTACAATTAGTCAAAGAAAGCAAAAAACTGTTTAGAAATCAAAAAGAATTTTGCAGAGAAAGGTTTATTTATGATGTGAATTAAAGGAAGTAATTCATAAATATGGTGAACCAAGAAAATGCAATAATTGTAAAGCAGAAAGATACTCTGATAAATATTGTGAAAAGTGTATTGGTCTGCACTTACAGAGCCTTTTCAGCACTTGGACATCTGGAAATGAGATAATTGATAGTTTTATTCAAAAATGTCAACAGCTTTCATCTCTCCTAAATAGAATTATAGAATGGATACCTTACGAGCAATTTTATAAAACAAAAAAGTTATCAGAAGATGGATTTATACTGCTGGGTGGACAAGAGGATGTATTGATGATTATGATGAAATTAAAATGGAGGTTAGTTTGGAGCTTAAATAACTCAGGAAAATCTTTTTTGATGAGGCAATTGTTCTTATTTAAAATAAATCATTTTTTATTTTTAAATCAATTGATTTATTTATATAATTAATTTCAGGTATTGAATTATTGTGGCTCTTAATTATATAATTCATATTATGATTTAAGATTAAAAGGTAGAATTAATATTTTTATGTATTATGTAATGCATTATATTTCATACATCAAGATGATCTAATTCATTGCAGTTTACATATTGGTAATATACTCTATTGCAAGAAGGTGTTGTTATATCACAGATTTAGGATTATGTGGACCAGTTGATGAAAAACTGTCAATAAAATTTATGGAATTGTATTCTTATATTGCACCAGAATTATTAGAGGAAATAAGAACACAAAAGATCAGATATTTATAATGTTGGGATGTTAATGTAGGAAATATTTGCAGGACATCCACCATTTTATGATGGAGCTCATAATAATGACTTAATGTTTAATATATGTACAGGTTTATGACCACCAATATTACCGGGAATACCTGATGATTATGCACAAATGATCCAAGGGCGTTGGGATGTGGTTCTAGCCAAGAGACCAACTATGAGAGAGCTTTGGGAATTTTTCATATTGAATCAAAGGAAATTTATAAAACAAAAAATTCGCAGGAGAAAAACCCATTATTGATCAATTTGGGGAACATGGAGGAACAATATTTCCCACCAAACTAATTAGCAGTAATGATTATGGTGGTAATATTAATAATAAGAATATTAATAATAGTAATTCACAACAAATTCACAATCACATCCATTAGCATACCATACAAGTAGAATATTAAATGATGAGTTTAAAAGGCAATGATAGTTTATTAAGTAACCTTGAATATTTAATGAAATACAATTTTAATAAAGTAAACTAAACAGTCAATTAATTGAATTTATTAATTAATACATGATAATAATAATAAAACGAACAACACAACATTTCATTTTTAATAAATTATTATTATTATCATTATTATTGTGTCTCGGGTGTTTGTTTTTGAAACCAATCCATCATTTAAAGTCCAAAATCAAGGGATCTGAAAACAATGAGGAAGATGAGGATGGATAGTATAAAGTTTTAAAATCAAATATTTTAGGAAAAGGTGGACTCTCAAATGTGATTTTCGATTCGTTTTTCGGGGCACCAGAAAAGATGATGTGGACATAAAAGAAATTTCAAAAGGTTGAATTACAAGTCCAAAAAACAGCATTTTGTATACAATTCTTGACGGTTTATTATTATTTTCGTCATTATTTATTATTGTCATCATTAATGTTCTTGACATGCCGTGGTCATTATAGCACCGTTCCTTGAAAATCCTACATTACAAGCTGAAAAATGTATGACATTAGAATTATTATTGTATGTTGTTGTAAAGTATTCTCGCAGTGTATCCTGGTCATTATTGATATAACGTTATTCACGCAAGTTGCAAATATTGTTGGTTGTCCATTGTTGCCGTCAATATTGTCGTCTCTGGATGGCTTGCTATTGCTGCTGCTGCCGTTGTGTGTAAGGACTGATGATGATGATGATGAATATTGTCATTATTGACCATCCTATTGTTATTAAATAAAGCTGGCACTTTTTTGAAAATATATATATGAAATTCATTATGATTAATATAACTCCTCCTGTTTATTTAAGAAAAAATATGAAAGCACAAGTCATTTTTTAAAATATCAATAGACAATTATACTATTTGCGATGTAGATATAGAGGAAGCCTGATTGATTATTCTAGGAAAACCATGTCATGTTTTAAATGGAGCTAAGCATATCAGAAGTTTGCAATGTAAATGTTACAACAGCTGCCTTACTCTTATAAATTAATTTACTAAATTTATAATGAGCAATTACTTCTATAATATGAATTAATCTGAAACATTTAACGAATGGCATTTAAAATTTTTTCTGGGTAATAAATATTATGCAATTATGCAAAATTTACGTAATTTATGCGTAATTTTACTCTCATAAGCGACTTGTACACTCACCTGCCAAAAGTATCCGGACAAAATGTAGATCATGTAAATTTCCGTGACATTTCTGGGTGTTTTACACAAAAATACTCGAAAACTAGCGAGAAAACGTGGCTTTTTGTCCTAAGTAACTGCACTTCAAATGTTCGAAATTGCATATTTCCATTAATATTTATAATCTAATAAAATATAGTTTTTGGGTGATATGTAAATTCTTAAAATCGTTTAAAAATGTTGGTTCCCAAGACTTTTTTTTGTCCCATAAAATATCCCACATAATAATAAAAAGTCTGAAAACTCCATAAAAGAATTTAAAATATAATGAACAAAATAAAAAAAAGATGATTAAAATTCGTCAGAAATTGATAGAGTTGCATGTATTGAGAAAATTTTCGAAAATTTTTCAAAAATCAAAAAAATCAAAAAAATCAAAAAATTATTGTTTCGATTTTTGAAAAATTTTCGGAAATTTTCTCAATACATGAAACTCTATCAATTTCTGACGAATTTTAATCATCTTTTTTTTATTTTGTTCATTATATTTTAAATTCTTTTATGGAGTTTTCAGACTTTTTATTATTATGTGGGATATTTTATGGGACAAAAAAAAGTCTTGGGAACCAACATTTTTAAACGATTTTAAGAATTTACATATCACCCAAAAACTATATTTTATTAGATTATAAATATTAATGGAAATATGCAATTTCGAACATTTGAAGTGCAGTTACTTAGGACAAAAAGCCACGTTTTCTCGCTAGTTTTCGAGTATTTTTGTGTAAAACACCCAGAAATGTCACGGAAATTTACATGATCTACATTTTGTCCGGATACTTTTGGCAGGTGAGTGTA